CCCCTGATTGGCCCTGCTCTGTGCGTGACAGGGGGTGGCGCCGCAACCTCCCCATCGACCCTGCCTTGAGTGTGACAGGGGGCGGTGCCCCAACCCCCCAGTCGGCCCTACTCTGAGCATAACTGAGGGAGGCATCGCAACCTCCCGATCCGCCCTGCTCTGTGCATGACGGGGCGGCGCCCCAACTCCCCAATCGGCCCTGCTCTGAGCCTGACAAGGGGCTGCACCTAGGGATTGGGCCTGCCCTCTGCCACCCGGGAGCAGGCCTAAGCCAGCAGGGCGTTATCTCCCGAGGGGTCCCAGACTGGGAGAGGGCACATGCCGGGCTGGGGGACCCCCCCCCCTGAGTGCACAAATTTTTGTGCACCGGGCCTCTAGTCTATAATAATAAAAGCACAAAAGGCTAATTAGACTGGACAGCTGAACAACCTTACGGATGTCCTTCTTGACGAAGCCTGGGCTGCGAGGGCCAAGGCAAGCTGCCACAGCTGCAAGGGCTGAGTCCCTTGCACGAATTTCGTGCATCAGGCCTCTAGTCTATATATAAAAGGCTAATATGCAGTGTCCCCTCAGGAGTTCGATCAGGAGTTCAGCCAGCAACTGGGGAAGGGAGGCCCCGGCCAGCAGCCAGAAGACCCCTATCTGCCCTGATTGCCGGCCAGGCCTAGGGACCCTACCCATGCATGGATTTCATGCACCGGGCCTCTAGTAATTAAACATCGAACCTCTGAAAAGGAAGGGTGGGGGATAGATGGAGTGAGGTATACATCGATGGATAATTTATTTTAAAAATCTGAGGCAAATATGGAAAAATTTATTAAAGCTGGGTCACAGGTAGATAAGTCCAATATATTCTTTTGTGTGTTTGAAACATGTTCATGAAATTTTTAAAAAATAACCTTATTGTGATATAGTTTATACACCATACTAGAGGCCCGGTGCACGAAATTCGTGCACGGGGGCAGGGGTTGTCTCTCAACTCAGCCTGTACCCTCTCCAATCTGGGACCCCTTGAGGGATGTCCGACTGCCCGTTTAGGCCCGATCCCACTGGGGCTGAGCCTAAATGGGGAGTCAGACATCCCTCTCACAATCCATGACTGCTGGCTCCCAACCGCTTGCCTGCCTGCCTGCCTGATTGCCCCTAATCACTTATGCCTGCCAGCCCGGTCACCCCTAACTGCCCTCCCTTGCCAGCCTGGTCGCCCCTAACTGCCCTCTCCTGCTGGCCTGGTCCCTCCCAACTGCCCTCCCCTGCAGGCCTGGTCGACCTTAACTGCCCTCCCTTGCAGGCCTGGGTCCCCCCCAACTGTCCTCCTTTGCTGGCCCGGTCACCCCTAACTTTCCTCCCTTGCAGGCCTGGTCCCTCCCAACTGCCCTCCCCTGCTGGCCATCTTTGACCACCTGGGGGCGGCCATCTTGTGTGTTGGGGTGATGGTCAATTTGCATATCACCTCTTCATTATATAGGATACAATTTGCCCAATGGAAGTATATAATTCAGAGGTTTTTAGTGTATTCGCAGAGTTCTGCAATCATCACGTCAATTTCAGAACATTTTCATCACCAGAAAAAGAAACAAACTCAATAGTAATCACTCATTTCTTTCCAACCCCCACAGCCCTATGCAACCACCAATCTTGTCTCTATGGATTTGCCTTTTCTGTATATTTTATGTAAATGGAATTATATAATATGTAATCTTTTGTAACTAGGTTTTTTACTTAGCATGTTTTCAAGATTCATCCATGTTGTAGCATATGTCAGTACTTCATTTCTTTTTATTGCCAAATAATATTCCATTGTATGGATATACTACATTGTGTTATTCATCAATTGATGGGCATTTGAATTATTTCTACTTTTTGGCTATTTACCGGTCAACTGCCATGATATTTTGAATTCAATTAAAAAAGGTCCACTGCTTGTGTCTATAGATGGTTAAGAATAATGCTGCTATGAACATTCATGTACAAGTTTTTGTTTGGATGTATGGTTTTCTCTTGATACAGACCTATGAGTAGAATTGTTGGGTTGTATGGTAACTCAGTTTAACTTTTTGAGGAACTGCCAGACCCCTCCAAAGCAGCTGCACCATTTTACCTTCGTACCGTATTGTATTGTATTGTATTGTATTGTACTGTATTGTATTGTGTATGAAATTTTTAATTAAATATTTCTGCAGCTCTTTATCCAATTAAAGAGACATGTATTGAATACATATCCAGTATTCATATGTATGAGTCACTGTGATATATACTGAGAGGCAAGCAAAAATGTAAACTAATGTAAGCAGTAATTATAAGCAGTATAATAACATTCACATATTCATATAACTTCATAAGTATTAGATAAACAAAGTGCTGTGGAGCAAGGATAGAGTAATTAGTCCTGAATATTAAAAATCTGGAAAACTTCTCTGAGAAGTTGACTTTGAATGTTTCAAATCACCTTTTGAATTTAGAACTTTTAATGATATAGACAAGTACTTATATTTGGTAAAAAAATAATTTCAAATTGTTTATATGGTATAGTCTCAACTATATTTTAGAAGTAGGAAAGGTAGGACACACTGAATTATTGATAGTTAGTTATAGGTAGAATTATAGGTGACTTTTTCTTCTGGAGCCTCCACATTTCTACCAGAAGCATCATAATACTTTTGTATTCAGAAGAAGTATTAAAAATAATAAAAGTTAAATTATCAGGGCCTAAACTCCATTGTGTCTTATCATAGAGAAATTGTTATCTATGGTTTTAAAAAGTATACTATTTTATAATTATCTTGTTTCTTTTTTAAGTTTCATGCAGAAATTTATTTTGACCATGACTTACAAAGTTATGTCCTTGTGGATCAAGGCAGTCAAAATGGTACAGTTGTTAATGGAAAACAGATTCTTCAGGTGAGTGTGTGTGTGTGTGTGTGTGTGTGTGTGTGTGTGTATACATGTATATATAAAAATTACTTGCACATTATTTCAAAAAAAATGAACTGAAATTTTTTATTCCTGAAGGCCATAGTTATTATATATATCATTTGGCTAGGTCAGTGTTCAAGTCCAAATGTGTTACATGGAAGGGAATTCTGAAAAAGGGCTGAAGAAGGATATAATAAGTTAATACTTGACTATTGAGTTTTGACTTCTAATTATGTATCTATATCTTGTCTTAAGAGATAAATGCATTTTTAAAAATATGTTTTTATTATTTCAGAGAAGGGAGAGGGAGAGATAGAAACATCAACGATGAGAGAAAATCATCTATCACTGCCTCCTGCAAGCCCCTTACTGGGGATTGAGCCTGCATCCTCAGCATGTACCCTGATTTAGACTTGAACCTGGCCTCATGGTTCATAGGTAGATGCTCAAACACTGAGCCACACTGGCGGGGCGAGATAAATGCATTTTAAAGCTATTCAGAGTAAATGTTTTTACAGCAGCTTTAGGGGTCCTTTTTTGTGTTTTTAAAATTTTATTTTAATGAAAGTATTGCTAAACTTTAAATTCCTTGAAGGTAGCGGCTATGTCTATCCAATTAACTCTTCTATCTTCAACATGTAGCAAAGTGCTTGGCACTGGAAGGGAGGACGTATACTTAAAAAATGAAATTGTCAAGAGGAAGAAGAATAATGATGCACTTATCCCCTGAACACTTAGTCTTTTTTACCAGAATTATTTGTTTTGGTACTAGATTGTTTAAAGTTTGGGTGGGTATTTCTCTGATAGGATTGGGCATGGAGATAGGAGATTGTGTTATCTTCTCCACTAGTAGAACATTATGGATCATCCTCAAGTTGTGGAAATGTGTGTGCATATGTATGCCTATCTCATTGAGAACCATCTCAAAAATATTTTTGTTATAATCAGACATTACTTCCATTTGACATAAAATAATCATATGTAACTCTTTTGGATTTCTGTTTTGTAATTTTTCCCTTCAGCCTAAAACTAAATGTGACCCTTATGTACTTGAGCATGGAGATGAAGTGAAAATTGGAGAGACTGTGTTGTCCTTTCACATTCACCCTGGCAGTGATACCTGTGATGGCTGCGAACCAGGGCAGGTTAGAGCTCACCTTCGTCTTGATAAGAAAGATGAATCTTTTGGTATGTGAAACTATTTTTAATGTGCATGATAACTTTCAAATTCACTGGAGTGTGCTAAATATGTATCAGTTGGCTACGAGCTTCATATCTTGATATAATACTGTGTTGAGAGAATTTATATATATTACTGATTTTAGAGAGAGGAAGGGAAAAAGGGAGAGAGAAATGGAGGGAGGGAGAGGGGGAAAGATGAAGAGAAAAAGAGAAACATCAATGAGAGAGAGAAACGTCCATTGGTTGCCTCCTGAACGCTCCCTGACTGGGGATTGAACCTGCCATCTTTTGGTACAGGACAACGCTCCAATCAACTGAGCCACACTGGCTAAGGTGAGATAATTTATATTTCAATAAATATTGTCAAATGAGACTAAGAAATGACATGTATTTAAAATTTGAGAACTAGGCTAGTCTATTATGATTGTAGTTGATTTTTCTGTGTAATAGCTGTTCTTTTATAGCATTAGGTTACTTTCTGACTAGGAGGTAATCATTAGTTCTGTCTTTGCTAATCTAGTTTAGTAGGCTTTTGAAGCAGCTACATATTCTTCAAAAGAGTAATTGTGACACAACTATAATAAAGATTGGTTTCCTTTTAACATTTATTTACTGATATGAAAAAGTCATCCACAGTTAAACTCTGTCATATAATAGTAACTATCTACAAAAAAGAGAAAGATGCAAATTGACTGTACCTTCACGATGCCCACCAGCCAATCAGGAGCGAGTATGCAAATTAACCAAACAAAGATGGCGGGTTAATTTGCATACTCAGGCACCAAGTGGCCGGGGGCGGGGTGGGATGCTTGCAATGTCGCCATGGCGACGACGCAGGTGTTGCGCACCACCCCAGCCGCTCCAGGACTCTGGGAAGGCGGAAAGGCAGCTCTGGGCTGGTACCGGCAGCCACGGGAAGGAAGGCCCATTCTTGCACGAATCTTCGTGCATTGGGCCTCTAGTTATAATAATAAAAGTGTAATATGCTAGTTAGACCGGACGTCCTTCCTTCCAGACAAAGCCACAGTGAGTGGGGGCCGAGGTAGAGGCTGCAGAGGCCCCGGCTGTGGCAATGATGGGCGGGGGTTGGGGCCAAGGCCCTTGCATGAATTTCGTGCATTGGGCCTCTAGTAGAAAATAATAGGTCAAGATATTAAGAGTTATTGGTTGATATGCTTTCCTACTATAGTTTATGTTGATGTATCATCTAAGTATACACCATGATTTTCTGTAGAAAGTAACACTGTGGGAAGTTGCTATTTTGCTTTAAGCTCACTCATCTAAGGCTTTTAAAATTTAAATAAATACCTTGAACTAGTAAGAACAAATTTTTTTCACATCAGTTTTCCCCCTAAATATCAATTTTACATGGTCATTGTATATTTTTTGTTTTCTGATGCTAGATCATGAAAATAAGTATGACACTTTACAAAGTAATATAAATCTTGGGATCTGTGGTTTTTCTTTTGCACATGCCTGCGTTTCTTTGGAAAAGTCACAGTATTTAAGAATCTTAGTGTTTGATGTTTCTCTTGTTATCTGTACTATTACATTCCTATAATCTTTGGGTTTTGGTTTATTTTCCAAGTAGATTTAATTACCAAAATGTTGAAAGGACATCATCACAACTCAAGATTCCTTTATATTAATGTTTATTTGCACATTTGATTAATTTATAGATGGGATGAGAATATTAATTAGTTTTTAATTATTAAATATGACTATTAATTTTATATAAAATCTGTCAGCTTTAGTGAGTTTTTCTTTTTAAATCAGACTCACTTTTTCCTTTTAGTTGGTCCAACACTAAGCAAGGAAGAGAAAGAGTTGGAAAGGAGAAAAGAGTTAAAGAAAATACGAGTAAAATATGGTTTACGGGTAAGGATGTTAAGTATCATATGTGTACCTGATTTTGAATAAAAATGCCTTTAGATATGCATAGTCCACTTTAATATATATAAAAATAGTTATTTAGAATGATTTTGAAGTTTATGTAATTTCTCTTAGTTGTTTACTGTTGTTACCTTAACAACTGTTGAGGTTGAAGTAGAAAAAGGATAATAGTACCCTACATTTTTTAAAATTTAAATTCTTTATTGTTTAAAGTATTACATATGTCTCCATTTTCTTCCCTACATTTTGATAGCCATTTCTGGTTTTAAAAACTTGCATTCAAATGTTACCATAAAAGAACATAGTTGAAGGACTAAAGCTGCCTGATTTCAACACTTGTTATAAATTACAGTAATACAGTATAGTATTGACATAAGGATAAACAAGTCAGGGAAACAGAATAATGAATCCAGAAATGAATCCATATAGATAGACAGGTGTGTGTGATTTCAGCAAAGGTGTGAAGCAATTTGGTGGAGAAGGGGTGGTTTTTTTAAATGAATAATTAAGTTACCATATGCAAAAATAACAACAAAAAGAACTTTGATTCACACCACATAATATATAAATGAATTCAAAATGGATCATAGATATGAATTTAAAATCTAAAACTATAAAACTTTTCTAAGCAAACCTTTTAGGCAAAGATTTTTTTATATATCTAACACTGAAAGCACAGTTCATAAAAGAGCATATTAATAAATTGCACTTCCTCTAATACTTCTGTTTCTCCAAAGACACTGTTAAAAGGATGAAAAGATAAGCCACAAACTGGGAAAAATATTTGCAAATCAATCTGATAAAAATCATACATCTTATATCTAGAATACATAATGAACTCTCAAAACTCAGTAAAAACAAGTCAATTAAAAAATGAGCAAAAGATTTGAATAGATACTTTCAGCTGATGTACAGATGTAAAACACATGAAAAGATGTTCGGTATCAGTAGTCATTAGGAAATGCAAATTAAAAACAATTAAAAAGACTGACCATAACAAGTGTTGGTAGGCATGTAGAGGAATAGGAACTCACCACTCTAATCCAAGGTATTTATCCAAGAGAAATGAAAGCATATGCTCATACAAAAACTAGTAAACAAATGTTCATAGCAGCAATTTTTCTAATAGCCAAAACTGGAAAAAATTTATGTGTTCATTATGAATGGATAAATAAACTGTGGTATATACCTCTGTGGTCAAATACTATTTAGCAATAAAAAAGCATGAGCTATTGATATGGGCTGCAATATGGATGAATCTCAATTATGCTGAGTGAAAGAAGCTAGACAAGAGTACATAGTATATACTTCCTATATAATAAAGAGGTAATATGCAAATTGACCATCACGCCCTTACAAGATGGCTGCCTATGACCAGGCCGGCAGGGGGGTTAGTGAGGGACGACCAAATGACTGAACAGCAGGATGTGTGGGGTGACCAGGCCAGCGGGGGGCCATGAGGGGCGACCAGGCCAGCAGGGGGGGCAGTTGGGAGTGATTAGGCTGGCAGAGGGGTCAGTTGGGAGCGATCTTGCCGGCAGCGGGGGCAGTTAGGGGTGACAAGGCCGGCAGTGGGGGGCAGTTAGGGGTGATCAGGCTGGCATGCAGAGGCAGTGAGGGGTGATTAGGCCGGCGGGGGATGGGCAGTTAGGGGCAACCAGGCAGGCAGGCAGGTGAGCGATTAGGAGCCAGCGTTCCAGGATTGTGAGAGGGATGTCCGACTGCCAGTTTAGGCCCAATCCCCGGGATCGGGCCTAAACTGGCAGTCGGACATCCCCTGAGGGGTCCCAGATTGGAGAGGGTGCAGGCTGGGCTGAGGGACACCCCCCTCCCCACACGAATTTCATGCGCCGGGCCTCTAGTCTATTTATATAAAACTGTAGAAAAACAAACTTACATGTGATAGAAAGATTGCCTGGTTGCCTGAATACAGGAGAAGAAGGATGCCCAGGGAGGATCTGAGGGATAGATTACAAAAAAGGACAAGGACACTTGTGGGAGATGGATTTGTTTATTGATTGGGGTGATGGTTTCATAGGTATAGACACATCTCAAAAGTGTCTAATTGTACACTTTATGTGTAATTTATTGTATGTTAATATACCTCAATAAGGCTGCCCCCCGCTGCTGTAAAAAGTATTGCCATTTAATCCTGTAAGTAGACCAGGAAGGTAATATTTTCAGTTTACATTTGAGAAACTAAAGCTAAGGGTCACTCAGTTACTAAGTGATAGAGCTAGGTATAGAATCTAGGTCAGTGACGGCGAACCTATGACACGCGTGTCAGAGGTGACGCGCAAACTCATTTTTTTGGTTGATTTTTCTTTGTTAAATGGCATTTAAATATATAAAATAAATATCAAAAATAAAAGTCTTTGTTTTACTATGGTTGCAAATATCAAAAAACTTCTATATGTGACACGGCACCAGAGTTAAGTTAGGGTTTTTTAAAATGCTGACATGCCGAGCTCAAAAGGTTTGCCATCACTGATCTAGGTCTAAATTAGTGTATTTGTCCAGTGCTTTTTACACTTCATGAAGATGTGGGAAAGATGCTCCAAAATAATATATGTACTGCAACATTGTATTTTTTTGTTACTTTTGTGCTAATGGACAGAAATCATAATAGAAAAAAAATGTCAGGGGACTAATTTGGGAGTAAAATAAAAGATATATAAGGAGGGAATAAAATGTTTTCTCAAAAATTTTAACTCGCCGTAGCTGGTTTGGCTTAGTGGATAGAGCATCGGCCTGCAGACCAAAGGGTTCCGAGTTGATTCCAGTCCAGGGCATGTACCTTGGTTGCAGCCTTCTCCCCGGCCCGGGACCTGGTCGGGGCTCGTTCAGGAGGCTTCCAATCAATGTGTTTCTCTCACATCGATGTTTCTCTCTGACTTTCCCTCTCTCTTCCACTCTCCCTAAAAAATTCAATGGAAAAAATATCCTCAGGTGAGGATTAACAAAAATATAAATAAATAAATTTTAACTCAATTTCTGAATCATCTTTTGGAGAAAAGCCCATTGAGATCAGTGGTTGTTTTGCTTCTCTGATTACAAGCAAAATTAGGTAAAAACTTCTGTGGTACTTTCCTTGAATTGCTCTAGCAGCCCCTAGCAACTCTGGATGAATGACATACTTTTTACATAAAGATCAACAAGTAATAACAAAGGGTGGAGAGAAGCCTTCTCTGAAGCTCCAACCTGAATTGACTACCTGCTCTTTTGTGCTTACTGCCACATACTATGTATACCTCTATTGTTGAACCAATCATACTGTAGCTTGCTAAAGATTATGTGTCTGTCTTCCTGGATTATAAATTTCTTTGTATTCCATCACCTAGCATGGAGCTTAACATACTCTTTACTTAATAAGAATAAGGAGCATGGCCCGGCTGGTGTGGCTCAGTGGTTGAGTGTCAACCTATGAACCAGGAGGTCACAGTGTGATTCCTGGTCAGGGCATGGGTTGTAGGCTCAATCCCCAGTGTGGGGCATGCAGGAGGCAGCTGATCAGTGGTTCTCTCTCATCATTAATGTTTCTATCTCTCTCTCCTTCTCCCTTCCTATTTCTGAAATCAATAATAGAAAAAAAATTTTTTTAAGAATACAGAGTATGTTAAGCTCCATGGAACTTAACATATTCTTTACTCATAATTCACATATGATTTATATTCTGTATACAATTTGTGTTTTAGTACAACTTTGAATAATATAAACATTTTAAAGGGGATGGAATAAAAATAGCATATTCAATAACATAATTGTCTTCATTTATATGATGGCTTGTTTTAATTGTTTGAGACCACATTGAACAATATTGCTAATAAGGCAGATATACAGGCATTACATTTTTATATATTTGTTGTTTTCATTGAGTATTTTGTATTTATAAAGAATACAGACTATGAAGATGAAAAGGCATTGAAGAATCCAAAATATAAAGATAGAGCAGGGAAACGGAGGAAGCAGATTGGAAGTGAAGGAACTTTCCAAAGAGATGATGCTCCTGCATCTGTTCATTCGTAAGTATTAACTTTTCCAAAGTAGTTTCTAAAGTAGTTGTACCAATTATTTTTAATTTATTCATTTATTATTAATGTGACCTAAGTGGTCTTTTAGAAATCAGTTATCATCTTAATTTTTTTTTAAAGTGAAATTACTGATAGCAACAAAGGTCGGAAGATGTTGGAAAAGATGGGTTGGAAAAAAGGAGAGGGCCTGGGGAAGGACGGCGGAGGAATGAAAACTCCGGTAAGACTTGCGTTTTCTTTCACTCTTTAGCAGGTGTGTTGACTGTGTACCTAATATGTGCCAGGCATTGCCTTAAGAGCTAGTACTATAGTAGCAAGCAAAAGCAGATGTGATTACTGCCTCAGTGGCATTTATGATTACCAAATATATATATGTGCATTGTTTTATTTTGGTTTTAATATTTTCAGGAAGCCTCTTAAGAGTTTTTCCTTCAGTGGAGCTAGGATAGTGTTATTTCCTGAGTCAAGGTTTTTCTGTATCATTTAGTTGTTTTTAATGATTTCATGGTACTAAGCATTGCAGGAGCAGTTACAGTGTTACTTTACAAATAGGCAGATTTTATATTAGCTGGAGAATCTGTTTTGGGTTCAGGAATCAGAGCATGTAACAAGCAATAGAGAGAATAATGTTTGAAAAACAATACAGTGATTTAATTCCAGTCTCATGGTTCATCCGAATTCAGATTATCTTTCACAAAAACCTTACAAAGTAACATGACTGAAGAACTTTCTTCATAATTACTTGGTACCTAAAGAAATAATGAATGAATCATGGAGTTTAATGTAAATTTTCTCATTTCATTGATATACAATGGCAACAACATGGGTTTTATAGCTAGACCTAGGTTAAAATAGTGCTCTGCTGCTTACTATCTGTGGGACTTAGGGCAAGTTTGGACTTCAGTTTTCATATGTAAAAATGGGGATAAGAACTGTTTTTCAATGATGTCATGGAGATAAAGCTCCTAGCATGGTGCCTGACATATTAGGGACTCAGTAACTGGTAGCTTTTAATGGTTCCCAGCATAATGGGAAGTATTCCCCTCCTTTTATGAAAATAAGCAATTGAGTTCTTTTTATGACTCTTAATGTTTAACCTACCTGTTCACTTACGTAGGTGAGGCTAGGACAGTAGGTTTAAATAAATCTATTGCTGTACTTTTGATTAGAGTAGGATGACAGATTCTGCAGCATTTCCATGAATTTCAGTGCTAATTAAGGAGCACTCTATTTGTTGTTGAGGGAACTGTCCTTATTGACAGACAAGACAATGTAGAAAAATTTAAGTTCCATGTATAATCATGTATGTATTTCTGCATGTATCTGATACATTTTGATAGGTTTTTCTTTTGCATCAATCTTTTCTAAATCAAAAGAATTATACTTAAAATACTAAGTTGGACAAAGCAGATTTTAATGTGCTTTGACTGTACAGTAAATAATTCCTCTGCTCAACTTTTGGTAATAGATTCAGCTTCAGCTTCGACGAACACATGCAGGCTTGGGGACAGGTAAGCCATCCTCAATTGAAGATGTTCACCTTCTCCAAAACAAGAGCAAGAAGAACTGGGAGAAAGCACGAGAGAGGTTTGCTGAAAACTTTCCAGAAACTAAGCCTCAAAAAGACGCACCAGGGACTGTTCCTTGGGTCAAAGGGACTGTAGAGTGAAGGTCAGTCCTAGAACACAATTCAAGCTTTTTAACAGAGAATCTGGAACTTTTCCCTCCAAAAGAGCCAGTGGCATGAGGGAACCTGTATCACAATTTACCCCCTCATGATTCAAATATGTATAATAAAGTGTGGTTTGCAGCTTTTAAAAAACATTTTTTAAAAACTAGTAAGTAGTGAATGTATCAAGTTATTTGATGGGTGGATTAAAGTTCACAGGGCATGGATGAGCTTATCAAACTTTGTTATTTTATCTTGTCATTTATAAGACCTACATAAGTAACTAGCCATATCAGCAAAAAATTCATATCCCCACTAATGATTTAAATGTACATTTGTCTTTGTCTCCATATGTTCATTATGTTGAGAAAACATGGGTAGAGGTGCATAAATTTTATTTTCCTTGAAATAATGTTAAGTAATAGTATTGAAGAACTAACGAACAGGTGACACGTAGAAAATTAGTCTTTCATTGTTTTCTTCTGTGAAGAATCTGTTGATTTGTACTATATATTAAGCATTTACATTGGTTTGTTTCATAGATTAAATATTTAGATATGAACAATTGAGTACAGTATTGAAATATTCATTGTACTGGCATTTGTAGTTTTGATAAATCCCATTGCTGGCAATGGAGTTTTGCCAGATAAATCTAATTTCTACTGCCAACAGATTATCTAGCCAAGGCCTCAAACTCAAGTATTTATTGAAAATGTTCTCAAATGCAATAAACACATTGTAACATCAGAAAGAGTGATTCATTGAACCAATGATTTAAACATACTGGTCTGCTTTGAACTCACTACCAGCCAGAATTTTCCTTTTGAAAGTGGCAGAGCAGTGACAAGAGGACTCCCTGGAATGCTGGAGAGCTGCAGTGCAGTTTCCTGAGTGCAGGTGTCACCGCTCTGCCAGTTATCACTATTTTCTTCCGTTGGACTTTTCTCTCAGCTCTTGTCTGGGAAATTAATGCTGGAACTGACCCTCTTTTGGCAGTGAATATAAGCTACAGCTCCCTCATCTGCTATAAAGAAATGTCTTCAAGATTTAGAATAGGAAAGAAAAATTCTGGAAAAAAAAAAGTACAATAGGGAAAATAATTCAGAAGAAAAGGCTACCTGTTGGAATTTCTAGTCTAAATGGTATAGGGTACGTCGAAAGAAAAGGGAGTGAGGAAAGAAAAATAAATTTATTATTAAAGATGAGACATGTGACCAAATTATTAAGTCCCTTAAAGCCTAAGTTGGGATAATCAGAGGCCCTAGAACTCCAGATGTGGTTATAATATTTTTCTGTATCCTTCCTGGCCACCTACACACCCTAACACAAATATATGTGCATTAGACTTGGAGGCAACAGGAGTTTCCTGCATTATTTTCTCTAAATTAGAAAAATAATTACTCATCTAAATGTGGTTTGGTACTGGTGCCCTGTATATAGGTAACGATACAGAATTCCCAAAGTAGACTTTGCTTCTGGTAGATCTTACTCATTGGGTTAGTATACTGTCTATATAGTTCCCATTTTTATTACTGTTTTGCAGAAAACTTTTTTCATTGTTTTCTTTTGTTAAGAAAATGGAAACTTGAAAATGGTGATAAAAATTGAAAAACAACAACCCTGAAATATATGTGATACTTGCAGTATTAAACCCCTTTGCAGATCAAAGTCTCAGGGCTACACTGTATAGTGGTTAAAGCACTGAATCATGTCTGTATCTATTTCCAATTATGAAATAATACTCATTTCACATGTCTGTCTTAAATAGAAAATGAGAAAATGTATATAAAACCACTTTGTAAACCATAAAAGTAGTACAAATGTGAGCTTCTGTTTGTTCAGAAGCATACATGTCAATTATGTACAATTTGGATTACACATAAAATTGTTTTGTGTCTAGTATTTTAAATTATAGTTTATTCACACTATGTAGAGTTATTAATTTAATAGCCTTTAAGGGTTATTTTAAGTGGAGCTACAAGTTGCTAATTTGAGAAATCTTAACATTTTATATTTTTGCCAGAACATGAGAAGTTGGTAAAATTGAGAACAGAAGAAACTATCAACATTAAAGAAAAATAACAAATTTTTTTCTATAATTAAATAGTTAAATACTTTTTCTCAAAAAGAAAGGATTTTTTTTCTGCTTTTAGACAGTTTTTACTTCTGATGGTTCACCCGAATCAAATACCTTCCAACGTATTGTGTAAAATATTATTTCTTAATTTGGTACATTTTCAAATTGCAGGCAAAAGAAGATAGAAATTTCCAACAAGGTAGAGCAGACGTATCAGAGGTTTTGCACAAGGCCACCCTATCGAATTGCAGGAAAGAGGGATGTGCTTGGCAGGGAGCCAGAAAGGCATTTCTGGACCCAACACGTTCTCAGGAACAGTTGAAAGTATTTTCTCTAACATCTTATTCTAAATGGCTTATTTTTGTAGGGCATCACTTTTGTGTCTGAATCTTTGATTCAAAATGTTTTATTTTATCTTTTTAGACTGTAAAGTTGGAAATACATTTGGATTCTTTAAAATGAGTCAGCATTCATGTGTGTGTCTGTTTATCTCAGCCCAGGCTCTCACTCTGCCTTTCTGCTTTACTGTTCTTCGTGTTGACTGTGGCTTTGTAGTTGCAGAGTGACTTTTGGAACGTCAGTCATTACATTTATTTCCGAAACAGGCAGAAGGGGTAAAGAGAGTAGTGTTTGTTTAGTTCTCTTGTACAGGAGAGCAAAGCCTACTCAGAAGCTCTCATAACACACTTCTCCTTACGGCTGCTAGCCAGAACCTGGTAACATGCCTACCCACAGCTACAAGGGAAGTTGAAAAGGTGGGCAACAGGATGGTCTCAGTTGACTTAAGCCAATCATGAACCATCACCTGGGGCTGACCATGTTGCTACTGGAACAGAATTTGGGTTCAGTGAGCAAGGCAGAAGGGGGACAGTAGAATGAGCAGGTAACTATCTGCCAGAGGGTTGGTTAAATTGTGATACAGTCCTACCATACAATACTTTGTAGCCCTTCAGGTGAGTAAAGTAGAATTATCTCTACTCTAATATAGAAAAATAGTCTCACTGCATTGCTGCTTAAAAAAAACCCAGATTATAGAAAAGTGTGCATAGCATAATCTCATTTAAAAAATATGGGTACATATTATTGTTTTTAATATTAATTACCCAAGGAGTGAACAGACTTATTTTTTATTTTATTATTTCTATATTTGAACTTTAAAGTAGGTATACTTGTGTAGTTAACTGGGTATAACCATACACATTTATGGCAAATAGGAATGTAACACCAGAAAGTGGAGAGGCCTTCAGGGCTCAACCCCAGACATCTTCCTCACTCTCACATGCCCACTTTCATGTACCATCTATATACCCAGGACTTCCAAGTTCTTTTAGTCAGGATGCATAACTAATTCAAAGTCACCGTAAATGCATCTTGTCCAAGATTGAACCCATAGTCTTCTCCAAACCTGGTCTCTTCCAGTTTACTCAGCTGGCAGCATCATCTAGCTAGTTGTGCAAGCCAGAACCTAGGAGTCAGCCTCTATTCAGTACCACCACCTTCTCTTTCCTTCCCCCTAATTTCCAATGTATTAACTCAATTCACTGTCACCACTCACCTGGACTATTAAAGTAACCTCACTGGTCTCCCAGCAGTCACTCCTCCCTCCCTCCAGTCCATCCACATTGCAGGCATAGTGTCTTCACAACTCCCATTTCATCATCTCCTGTTTAAATTCTCCAAGACTTCTCATTACTTTGAGGACAGAAAACAAAATCCTAGCCCATAAGACCCTACCTGGTCTAGCCACTGCTAAGTTTTCCAGTCCTATCTTGTATCTTCCTCCCACTTGGTCTCTGGGCTCTGGCATGCTGGCCTCTCTTTTAGTTTCTCAGACATGCCATGCCCTCTCTCATCCTAGGGTTGCTTATATTCTGTTATGCTCTTCTTGCACCCTTTGACCTAGTTAACTGACATATTCTTTAGATCTCTGCTAATTGATTCTTCTTCAGGGATGCCTCATTTGTCCCCCTAGACTAATTGCCTTTGATAAATGTTCTTGAAAATCCATATTCGTTTCACTTAGACTGCTTATTTTGGTTCACAGTTATATATTAATTAGCGTGCTAGTGTGATACTTGTCTAGATTCTGAAATGCCATGTGGGCAAGACCTTGGTTTTTCTCACAATTGCATTCCTAGTGCCTAGTACCAGCTCTGTCTTACACTCTCACAGGCATAGAAGTGAAAGAGCAGGATGGGTTTTAGGGGACTGCAAATGGCTTGATACAGATGGAGTTTTGTGTGACTGAGAAACATGGGAGGGACTGAGTTACATAGAGGACACAGTCCCTTAGTGAATTATGAAATCAAGTTAGTGGTTGGAATCAGTGAACATTGAGCGAAAGCTTGGTTTTCAAACTGTTTGACAGAACCTATGGCATTGCTTTTAAGAGCTGTAGCTGTGCATATGCTTGATGAGGGTGGAAAGGGTTAGGATGCCAGACTGGTGACTCCATTTCTCATGCTTATTACCAGAACAGGTTTGTAGTGATCTTGTTGTCAATTTAGGCTTCCAAATAGATTACATATGTAGGAAGGTTTTCACTGCTAAAAGAAAAGGGGGTGGAGTGGGGTGGATGGGGAGAAGAACTGAGCCACTTACCTACAGCCATTCTAGCATACTGCGTTAAGAAATTTGGATTTTATCTTTTTTTATTATGAAGGATGTTAAGCAGAAAAGGGCCCTCATTAGATAGTTTTATAGCAGAATAACTAGCTGATTGTAGAGTGGAGGCTGGCAGACCTCCTTGAGGGTTTGTTTCATTTATCAAATGTTTATTGAGCACCCATCAGATGCTGTGCAGACCTGGGAAGGCAGGGACGTGGTTTCTTTTATCCACTAATGTGTCTTCGGTACCTACCACAGGTGGATGCTTAGGAGGTGCTCAGTAAGTGCTTGTTGGTAGGATGGATGGAACACACATTTGTGATATGTCAGGCACTGTGCTAGGCATTAAACATATATTATCTTCTTTATTCCTGACAGTATTTTATGAATTAGAATACAAGCTTAGAGAGGTTTTAATTTTGCTCAAGGTCAAAATACCCATGACAAAGTTGCAGAGCTAGGGTTTAATCTTGATTCTTTTCATCCCAATGGGATGGTTAAGAGCACTGGCTAAAGAGTCTCACTGACCTGGGTTCAAATGATAGATTCACCACTCCCAAGCTGAATGACGTTTAAAAATTTATTTAATCCTGTATACCTTAATGTCTTCATGGGTTTGCTGGGAAGTTTAAATGAGATGAGGCCTATGTGGCACTGAGCACAGTGTCCAGTGCATAATAAACCCTCAAATCTTAGAAATTACCAGTATTATTATGCTGTGCTACCATTACCAAGGGTGTTGGATCCTGGAGTGGAGATGGTGGTTCTTGAAGCCAGGGAGGTTGAGGTAAGAGGAAGGGCCATCTTCTTTCTTTGAGGTGATGATAGGAGAAAGATGTGGACAAGAAGACTGAGTCAGGAGCTAGATTTCTTTTTTTTTTTTTTTAAATATATTCCATTGATTTTTGACAGAGAGAAAGGGAGAGAGATAGAGAGTCAGAAACATCGATGAGAGAGAAACATCGATCAGCCGCCTCCTGCACATCTCCTACTGGGGATGTGCCCGCAACCCAGGTACATGCCCTTGACCGGAATCGAACCCGGGACCTTCCAGTCCGCAGGCCGACGCTCTATCCACTGAGCCAAACCGGTTTCGGCAGGAGCTAGATTTCTTAATGAATTTTGGAGAATGAGCAAGAAATTGGTAATGAGAAAGACAGTGAGAAAGGGTAAAGGCTATTGTAGATGAGTCTTATCCTCAAAGAAGGGATGGATTCTGCATGACTTTGGAAAAGGAGCTATCTGAAGAATGATAGGAAGACCTAGCAGGCCCATCCTGGCTCTTGCTACCCTGTGGGAACAAGGGAGCTGCAGGGAGGACTCCACGAACTAGGTTTCAGCTACTCATATATGAAGATCAGTCAGCAGATATCCATGAGGTGCTTCATACAGGCACAATTCCAGGCACTTGGGATACAGCAATAAACAAACTGGATAAGACTCCCTGCATTCTTGGAGCTTACATTTATTTTTTAGACAGTATTTGGTAGAATGTAAAGGCCAAGTAGTCACATGAAGGCCTTGATAGTTCCCCAAAGAATATTAATCCAAAGTAGTTTTTGTTCATCGAAAAGTTTTTCACAAGCCAAAGTTCTTAGGGGAAAGTGCCATTTGGTTTGTTTTTGTTGTTTAATGTTTTCAGATCTCTCTCCAAACCAGACCTTTTTAGGGTAATCTTATAAACTCTGCCTTTTAAAAAAATTTAGTCATGTGTTTGAGGGATTTGGATATGTGGACAATAGTAAAACCTTGCTGATGCTGCAGCCCCTCATTTAATTGTGAGAATAATAACTCTGCCTGCTCAGACATTTGGGTTTTGTGGTTCTAAATCTAAACAATAGATCATTAAAATACAAAAACAATGCAACATGAATCAGGTCACTGGAATTGGAGTTGATGGAGAACCTGTAAATCAAAAAGTCTCTAGAGGATGTGGAGCAGACACTCTTGGGGGAGTTAATGTGAATGGAGGCAAACAATGTCTTCTGCCTGCTGAGTAAGAATGACTTTCCAGAAATTCTTCCAGCAAAAGGCTAGCTTTGTTCTTCTATGTTAAAATGCCATGGTATTTCATTGCCCAGAAAGCAAAAGACAGGGAGAAGTTGGTGGAATATTATTAAATGTATTTTAACACGTGACAGTGTGTTACTTAGCTTCCAATTACTAGTAGACTTCAGAGGCTAGGAAGGTTGCCAGCTCATTCATCTGATCATTACTTATCTTGACCAAATGCCCAGGAGAATATATACTGAAATAATAAAGCTCTCATTAGCATTTAATGCTTTTCCTTAAAGCCCTCATTTTAGTACTGTGAAATCAGGTTTCAGAGAATGTCATAATTAAGATTTCATAAAAAGAAACATTCAATGCTATTTAAATATGTAATGACTCCCAGTGCTATCTGAATTCATTCACATCATAAACCCACTAAAATGGGCTTTAATCTCTATGACCGTGCTACCTTTACTTAACCTTAATATATAACACTATCAAGGCCAATTTATGAGCCACACAAAAATCATTATTATTGGTTTATTATAATCATGCTGTAGTATCCAGAAAAGTTAATTTAGTTCATCACCTTCCACATTCACCAGACTGGGCTCTGAATAACTGTCACCTCTTTTAAAAAAATCAAATTTTTCCTGGAAAGATGAATATTTGCCAATGTAAGGATGTTTTAAAGAACGTGCCAGCAACTGAGAACTGTAAGAGAGGAGTTCCAGAAGTGTTTTAAGCATGGAAATGTTTTTGGACTAACTGTATCTTCCAAGGTGACTACTTTGAAGGGAAGGTACTTGGATGGGCAAGCTTTGATAGATTTAGTTGTAAGATTGGTCAGATTACTTTGTAGT